CCCCGCGGGGCCGGTGCCGGTACCGCCCTGCGGCCCCTCGGGTGGCCGGGCTGCCGGCCCGCTCCCCACTGGAAAATACACCGCAAGATACGGGTATTGGCAGCGGTAGCTAGTGCCCTTACTGAAGTACGGGCCCTTAAATGCCTCCACGTGAAACATCCTCGCTGATATTTCTGCTTCAGCTTTCCACTGCCAGTTAACCATCTCACGGTTGTGTTTTGYATAAAAGTGTAGTAAGGTACAAGTTACTAATGAGGGAAAAATCAGTTGCACACTTTTATGTTTGTCCCCACCCTTTGTCTGTTTCTAGTATAGCCTGGTATGTTTTAAGGAGGTGTCTTGCTCACCTTGCAGGAGCTCTGTATTACRCACGTGATGGGAGTATGCAGTGTGCGAGTGTGTGACAAAGTGCCTTTAATGGGGCAGCAAAATAATGGAGTTGGAGGGAGAAGGGATGGGGTGTTGGACTGCAGAGCTGGGCCTGTGCTTAAATTGTTATTGCTCTGTTGTAATGTTTATATGTCAGTTTGGGTGTCCCTTATTTATATACATACATATATATATATTTATACTGCAGCAAGGAATGCCCTTAGTCGCACTAGTAAAGCTTTATTTTGCCAAATGAGGCTCTTTATGCCGTGATGGCTGCTAATGCAGATTATACTCCTTGGCTTTTCTCATATGACTGTACAGCTTCCCACCTGATAACTCCTCCTCATGTCCCTTTTTAAAGGCACCATCATTTTGACTGCCTGGAGATGGAAATTAAGCTTGTTTTTCATGTCTTCAGGAGTCTTGCAAGGCAGTAACAGGTTGTCTTGCTTGCACATAGATCCCCAATTGACTGAAGGTATCTTGTGCTTTTCGTGACCAAGAAAGATATAAAACAAATGTCTTTTAATTACCATTTGAGCAGACTGCCAAAGAAAGAAACTAARTGTTTGGACAAGCACTTTCTTTGTTGATAGTGCAAATCTGTGCTCTTTCTGCCTGGTGAAATGTAGTTTGGCAAAGTCACGTAAGTAATCCCCAAAATATCAGTAAAATCGTTGTTCTTTAACAAACCCCTTTGAAATTTTAAGAATGTATTTTAAGACGTGCGCTTCCCAAAGCACAGTAAACAATATTTAGGCATTAYGTGCTTGCTGCCCGAAGAGCAAGCGTCCTGCTGGCTAGGAGCAGTTCGCCACCTCRTCTCCAGGCGGCCCTTGGAGGAGGTAGGAAGAAGGAAAATGTACCTAATACAGCAAAATTAGCTTGTTTAATGTAAAGAGCGCTCGGATACTGGTTCCTCGTTTTTCTAAAATAACTTCTTTCCCATTCAGAGTAAGTTTAATTTACACAACAGTGTAATTTTTTTACTCTGTAAAATAAGAAACCTTGTTTACTGTTTTATATTATTTTTAAAAATGCTAAATGTGAATACAGGTCTGTAAGGTAGTTGCTACTCAAGTGCATAAGACATGGCTACAAAAGAAGGTGCCACGCTGAGATTAAACTAGTTCACATGGACAGACTTTAGATACTGGCCCATGCAATGTAACATTTGTGTGTGCCTTAGAAAGAACAAAATGCCCCAGAATGCAGCCCTAAGAGTTGCCAACAGTTGAGTTGAAAAATAGTCCTCTTGCTTCAGCCCGGAGCTGRTGGCCTGTGAGACAGGTTTGGTGTGGGGAGCGTTTCCATTGTGCCTGCCGAAGGCCATGTTGTCTCYGGGCTCCCTCCCCGTCTGATACTGCAGGATATGTGATCGTGCAGGCACATGAATGAGGCAGGAAGGAAAGAAATCGTTGAATGATTAAGGTGGTTGAGTGTTGCAGGGGATGAGGAGACCTGGATCTGCTCTTTGCCTCTTACAGGGTTCCTGTGATGTGAGGAAAGTTGTTCAAAACTTTCACAAATGGTCACCAGCTGTGTATTGTGGTGCTTTCTGAACTTTATGGTCTTTATGGGTAAGAAGAAAAAGTGGTACCAGACATGTAAAAGCCACACACGTAGTTGAATCTTTGCTTTGAAATTAAAATGTCTCCAATGTTAACAACTATTAAAAAAATAATTTGATCTCAATAAAAGCTGGTGGATGTTTTCACAGCTTTACTTTTTGTTTCTCATCGCTAAACTGCAGACAGTACAAAGTTTATCCTATGTTCTGCAAAAGTAAACTGTGAAGTATTGGGATGCTGCAGTGATAAAAGCCCCTGGGAAAATTAACCAGATAAGTCATCGGAGAAGGGCTTGAGTAATACACAATAAGTAGGGGTGATGAGAAACTAAACTCAGGAACGGTGTTTCTCACGACGTGGGCACTAATTCCATCTTGGTCATAAACAGAGCAAGGTTCTAGGGAAGGTTGTTGGATTATGTAATGAGTTGCTGGTAAAATATATTCCAGGAGCACTTTTGATCAAGTCATCTTCATCTTGTCACTTCTGGGATATGAACTTGTCTTTGCAATTATCTTAACCCATTTTTCTCATACTTAACAGCAGCTTACAGGATGATAACTTTACTTACATCTCTGCCTAAGATACGAACATATCTCCCTTTTGCTTGTACCAAGTATAACTGACATATCAATAAATCAGTGTAAGATTTCTTCAAACAAACTCTTTTCTAGAATAKATTTTTTTCATTAATTGATGCTGTAGGTTTGGGGTTTTATTTTTTTAAGTTTTACTGCTCTAAGATATTACATATTTTAAAGTGAGTGTGAAGACAAAGCACAAGCTTGTAATATGGAATGTTTGTAAAAATTGGCTAATAATAATCTAACAGATCGAAGCAATAGTATTATTCAAGTACATTTTCCCTCAGGCCTTTGGCAAAGGGGTTTCACATATGTATTATCATAGAAGAGCACTACAGCTTATTTGCTTTAGTGTTAAAGCAAGAACCTTGTGAGCTAAAGCTAACTTATTCCAGGTTTGTTCCTCCTTCTGTCTCTGATTTTCAGCAGAACATTAAAAGTGTAAATATAGGTTATCCCAGAGAGTAAGAGAGCTAAAACTAATTTTTTATTTCTTATCCCCAGAAATAATATTTCAGCAGTCATAAAACTGCATTCAGTTTTCAAAAGTGTTTCTCATTGGGGGAGATTTTTGTAAAAATGTGGATGAATTTTTATAATTGAGTTCTTTTTGCCAATTTGTGACTCCAAATTGAAAGAGTTTTTCCAAGTCTTTCTGTCAGACTGAATCATTTTGGTTTAGATAAATACTTAGTATTTTTAGAAACAACTCAGAAATTCTTTTCAGTGTGTGAGAAAGGCTGTGCAAAAAAGGAAAAGGTTTTGTTTGTATAGTATAACTAATTAGCTAATGATTTTTGTTTATGTTCTTTTATTTGCTTGTTTTTCATATTCAGGCTTATATGAATCCTATAGCTATGGCCAGAGCACGAGGTCCTGCCCCAAATTCAGGACCAACAATTCAAGACTACTTGAACAGGCCAAGACCRACGTGGTAAGTGGCAATATTTGTCTGCCTTCCTGACCTTTTGAATAAAAGCTTTGGTCTTTCTTACTAAAATGACACAGTTACTTCCTTCCCAGAACACACAGTAATGCATTTTAAAGATTCATTATCTCTGGCCAAGATGTTCTTTTCCAAATCTGTACAGAGTCTTCTTTTTTAAAAAAAAAAATTCCATTTTGAATGATATATCTCATTTGGCTTTAGATATTTGGCAACACTTCTTCACAGGAGGAAGTTGTTGGTCATTCTCTCTCTTTTGTGAATTTTGATACTTAAAGGCAGCAGATATATTCATCTTTTTCAGCAAAGTTATCTCAAGAAAAGCAATATGCTGGTGTATTTTTAGAGTGAAGCTCACCCTACCCAGTTGTCTCTTAAACATYGCTGCATTTTTTTTCAACAACTTATTTTATATTTGCTCTGTTTTATCTTCTTTAATAGGAAATTAGAGCAGAATTTACCTAGCTGCAAAGCTAGCTTTAGTTCTTAGTTCTCTCAGAGGAATTTATCTATAGTGCTTAKCTTTTTAGGGTTAGGTTGCTATACACAGAATGTTTTAAGTTGTCGTCATTGGTCTTTTTAATAGAAGCTCATCTAAAGCTGAACTTCATTTAAAAAAAAAAAAAAATCCTAGAAAAGCTTAGATATTTATCTGAAGTGAAACAAAGAAGAAAGTATTTTTAATAGTGGAAGTAAAATTAATATTGGTGTATCATCTTTTTTTTGTATAGGGAAGAAGTAAAGGAACAACTAGAAAAGAAAAAGAAAGGATCCAGGGCTTTGGCTGAGTTTGAAGAAAAGATGAATGAGGTTTGTAATGTGATTAATATCAGGCTAATATTCTGTCCGTCCTATCTGATATATTACTTTCTTCCATTATTGTTAATCTCACTAAGTACTTATAATACTACACTTAAGCTTTTAATAAATGAAAGTTTTGTTGTGTTTATATCAGATGTTAAGATTACCCCTTAACAGTGGAAAGCGTTCAGAGAAACATTTCATATGTTTTGAAAAATGCTGCTGAATAAAATTTGAACTTCTCAGACAAATACATGCATGTGCATAATTGTATTAGTATAAGGAAATAAAACTAAATYATTTTCCAGTATGGGAAACCCAGGTCTCTTTTTCTAATCCTCACTTGCCTAAGGTACTTGCTTAAGGTTACAGTCCAAAGAGGAGTATTACTGGGAATTGAGTTCTTTGGTGGGGAATGTACAAATACCACCAAAGTAAAATACAAAGAAGGGTCTTGAATGTCCAAACAGGACTAGAAAGCACTTCTTCCACTGCTTTTCCAAGCTGGCTACCTTCTTTGCAGGTTCCTACTATAAATTGAGCCATTCTAATATATGTGTGCAGTACCTATCGGAGATGTGCATGATGCAAGAAACATRTTTAATTTGTAACTCCTGTTTTATGTCTACGAAGAAATTGTCACAAAACGAATTTAACTACCTGTTTCCTTGGTGGGTTCTGGTGTCTTGGGATAAGCTCTCAGCAATAGTCCTCATCATTGTATGAGAGCTTCTGGTTGAACTCAGTTAGGCTCCCTCCTTGTTCCTGAGGGGACATGGTGCATCTGCTCCCGTGACACCTTTTTGCCCAAGAAGCAACGCCGGTGTTTGCATGGCCATGGGATGCTGCTCTGGGGGAATCAGCTTTCCAGCTGCATTGCAAAACCCCGCGTTGGCGCAGACTGCTCCCACCTGGCGGCGTGAGTTCCCGGAGAGCCCTGAGGCGGCTCCAGGCAGTGGGGTGCCAAGGTCCCAACCTGCTGCAGCACCCAAGGGTGGCAGCAGGCTAACAGGAGCTGTCTCCTCGCCACGCATGGGTCATGCAGCCCAGTTCCTGCCAGGCCTTTCCTGCAGCACCACGTGTGGTTGTCGTTGCTCTGCCAGCACCCTACCAGTGCCTGCCAGTTGTGAGAAAAGGGAGACTGAGAATAATGAAAATGAGAAAAGGGAGAACACAACACCTTGGGGGAGATGGCATGCACAGGTTGAAACAACTCTCAGTATGGTGCGGTTGGAAATGTCTCGGAGCCTCTGAAAGTGGCATTTGGGATAAACCTAGGGAGTTTGTGGGGGGCTTTTCATGCAAACAGGAACAGGAGTCTGTTATTTGTGCAGCGCACTTGGCCTAATGGAAACAAGAGCTTTTCTGTGAAGGTACRTGTGATAACTTGTAACTAATAGTTACTGGCGCTGACAGAAGCACCCATGCATCAAAGAAGAGCCAGAAGTAGCGTTCCCATGTTGCTTGAGGCGACTGAGACAAAGTACCAGTTTTTGTGGCAGTGCTTTCCCTTTTCTGAAGAGCTGTATTGGGAAAATTGTGATGCAGGCAACAACCATACCRTTAATGATGGCCTCCAAATCCAAGGTAAATGGCCACCTGTGAAATTCAAATAACCAGGGTATTTAAGTTACAAGCTAGCATGATGCTTGAACAAATTTCTGTGAAATGTATCTTAACCTTGGTTTACTAGCATATGTGATTTATTTTCTACAAGTTTTATGAAAATTTTATAGCTTTAGGTATAGGACAAGATTTTAGAAAGCTTCTCRTAATAAAACTTGTCATAATGATGATGCCATTGTTTTGCTTGTGTTTTCTGTTTGTTTTCAGAATTGGCGGAAAGAACTGGAAAAACATAGGGAGAAATTACTGGGTGGAAGTGAGAGCTCCTCCAAAAAGAAAGAAGTAAGTGATTTTCAACTTAGTGCAGTTTGTGTTGAACTGGATTTATCATCTCTACTGCCAATGCAGAATGTCGTAAAAATATTTTAAAAGTCAGTTTTGAAGAACATGAACTGAAATGCACAGCAAAAGGACGTGATGCCAAAATAATAATTGTTTTGTTTTCTTTTTAAGAAAAAGAAAAAGGAAAAGAAGAAATCTAGTAGGGTGAGCAAAGTTTTCAGTTTTCTGAACTTTTTTGGTTTTCGGCTTGTTTCTCTTTGTCATTCAGGGTCTCTTTGAAAGAGAGTGTAACTCTGATCTTGAATTTATATGATAAAATCATTAATTTATTTAAAAAAGGGGACATTCTGTACAAGAAGAATTTTACGTATGTTTAAATAAAGAAAAATAGCAGTAAATGCTCTTATGTTAAAAATGTTAGTAAATCACTTTTTACAGTTTCATTTAAGAAAGCCTGTGCAAGATCAACTTCTTAAAAGCTTAATTCATAATACTTTGAASAGATTTTGAAAGGATGTGGTTGGGTGATTTTCTGACTGTTTGCTAGACAAAATGCTGCATCTCACAAGCTTCACTTTTTTGTTGTGTTTGGTCAAGTTGTCTTCATCTTCTTCTTCATCAAGCTCTGATTCTTCCAGCAGTGCATCTGATTCAGAAGATGAGGTAAGGCTAAACTTATTAGAACCTGCCGTGTTTTGCATTTTCAGTGAAATTACACATTTGTAATGTTCTCAGCAGGCTAAGCTGAAGTATTTTTGTTCTTTGCTATTACAGAGTTCCCTTCTCACTCTAGGAGAAAATATAATAGATTCGTTTCAAGTAAAGAAAGAGCGAGAAAAGGCATATAAACATTTTAGCTARTATGTCACAGTCACTAAGATGAAGCAAATATTGGCCACAATTTTACATATTATGTATGTAAAACAAACTTGAACAGTAGGGAAAGGTAGACTTGCAAGGATGGAACTTTAATTCGATTTCACCCCAAGCCTTCTCCAGGCTAAACAGTCCCAGCTTTCAATTAATGAGGCTCATGCTCTCTTGTCTAGAAAAATGAGGAAATATATGTGATACATCAGACAGCAAATGGATAGGACTGCAGAATTCATTTGAATGTCAAAGAACATTTAATAGAAAAATCAGATTAAACAGTGGCTATTTCACTAATATATTCTAATATATTAGTGAAATATATTGTTTTAACATATTTTGTGAGGACTTGTTTTACATAAAAATACTTAATTTTGATGCAGTTGGGTTGGTTTGTTAGTTTTTATCAGAATCCTTCATATAAGCRTGTTATAGCACAAATAGCACTTTTCAGCAAGAATCTTTGTTGCAGATAAAAATCTGTAGCATACATCTATATATAAAAAAAAATTAATAAAAAAAAATAAAAAGACTTTGGAGAACCTGGATTTTTCTCTCCTTTTTTTTTTTTTTAAAGCAAAAAGGTTATGAGTGTTCTCCAAAAGAATCAATTACGCTATGCTTTATTCCTCAGCAYGAATACACATAGGAAATGTGAATTTAATGCAATGTTTTAATATCTAATGAATATAAATTTATCTTTGTGATTTTTTTKTGTGTGTGTATGTGTGTACAGGATAAAAAGCAAGGGAAAAAAAGAAGGAAAAAGAAGTATCGCTCCTCACGGAGGTCTTCAGCAAGCTCGATTTCTGAGTCCGAGTCCGACAGCAAGGTAAACATCCCAAGAGTAACACACTGCACATCTCTTTTGATCTATGATATAAAGACACAGGCATTTATGGCTTCTGCAAGTGAATGTTTTCTATCTCCAAAATTTAAAGCCATACATTCTTACTATAACTGAGTTTTACATGTACCTTCCAGATGSTGTCAGGCAGAATTAATTTGAGCTTTAGAAGATAAGGTTATTATTCTGACAATTTCTGGCTGTTTTTCTGAATTCAGGCATGTGCAGTTTTTGTGCTGTTCAAATGTTTAACCCATTGAATTAACACATTAATACTCCTAAAAATGAAAATATTCTGTGAACATCTTGTGAATGTGTTATTTTACTGAAAGTGAAGATACTGAGGGTATCAGTGGTACTTCCTTGTGAAGTAACTGGAAAGAGCTGGTCTGTGTTGGAACAAATATTAAACTGAGGGTTTCTTTTTGTGATGTACATGGCCTGGCTTAGGCAATGAATGGGAAAGTGGAAAGGTAGTTGAGGCAATCTATCTTTTTTTTTCTTTAACACTTAATTTATTTAATTTACACTTAATTCCAGTTTTTCACTGAAACACCTCTACTTGTGTGGTATTAATTACAATGAATCTGTCTTTGCTGCCCCTATCCATTTGTGATAATGAGGGCTTGAGCACAYGCTCACAACAGTGGTAGCTGGTTTTCTTTTGAGAGGCTGCATGTTCTGCTCTCAGCAAATACTCTATTACCTGGTTCCATAGAGACCTTTTCATGCTGCTGCTTCAGGTCATCAGCAGTTGCCCCAAATTATGTGACTTTTCCTTTCCTATTGCTGCTGCTAACTGCAAGATAAAAAGAGCAGCTTTGAAGAATGACCTTTGCTATAGGAGGGAACGTGTTGGGTCAGATTGCCTTTGGAATTTCTGCTTTTTGCTGAAATGTTTTTGTCATATAGTGTACTACTTCTTTCTGTTTAGGACGGCATTAAAAAGAAAAAATCAAAGGAGGACCATGAAAAAGAGAAGGTAGATCTCCTTTTGAAATACTTGCTTCAGAACTGCTTTCTACATGTATAATGGAGCTTGATTCTTTTTCTCTCTTTTGATATTGAATACCTCAATTTATACATATAGAAACTTACTGTCCAAGGCTAGACAGTTAGAAGATACTTAGCACCCCACAGTTTGGAGTAGAACTTTAGCTGGATTCAGCTCCCAAGTTAGTAACTGGTGGAAACTAGTGGAAACTGCTGTGTTTTTGTTAGGAGAGTGAACAATAAAGTATCTAATCTGYCACAGATCAGTGGCTTGCTAATATTTCGAATTTTAGCTTGAATAGTGAAATTGATCTGAAAACAGTTTAGTGGGATGTTTAGTAGGTAACTAGCTTTTTGCTGGAAATTAAGTAAGATCAAGCAGAACACTTTTTTTCTAAATGTCATAACTATATATATAGTAATTATTTCAGCTTTGAAAAAATGCTGAGAAAAATATTGTTTGTCAATATTGATTTCRATGTATCAGTTGTCCCCCGGGCAAGGCAAGTGTGTGGATACCATTTTTCCTTGCTCTGCTTCCAGTTCACCAGCAACTCCTTTAAATTTGGGTGGCTTCTCTTTGAAGAGCCAGGTGTCTGCTGAGTGCCTTGACCTTGGTTAACYTATAATGTCCTCAGGCCTCTTGCAAAGGCACAGGGTCCTGGGGAACTTGAGGTCATCTTGATSTGAGGATGCCCAATCTCTCAAACTCTGTTTTCTGATTTTCTGAGTACTCATTTTCCGAGTACTTCAGAGACAAGATTCTGGTACCTGTAATAGACTAGATAGGATGGTTGAGATGTGTGATGACACCTTGCAAAAAGGTGTTCAGTAAGAAATTTTTCAGTTTCTAGCCTTAGAAATTGAATGGAAGAAAGTAGCTTGTTTTCGAATCACACCTGCCTCCTGCCCCTTGCCTGGTCCAGGGCAAAGGTGGCCTAAAAAGGGAGAAAGGTAAAAAGTAGTTTCTGAGAGTAATCTCATACAGAACCTACATTTTAATAATAATGAAAAGGTTGCCCTTTAATTATACTGAGATTATGTAGAAGATGTTGAAGGTGCAGCTGGCAGGGACAGCTCACTCATGTGGACAYGAATATAGAGGAAACTCTTTTAATTTCATTACCAAAGCAAGAATGTGAAGCTGCAGAGTTTGTACATGCCAGAGACACCCTATTGACTCAGTAGTACTTAAAAATTATACAACACCTTATTTTCAAATGTTCACTCCTTCACAGTGTTTTTATTTAGAATAAGACTATGTTGGAGCATTCTTTCTCTCATGTACAAAAGATTGCAGTATATTGGTAAGGAAAAGAAGCAATACGTAAAAAAAGCCTGTATTCACATATTTTAACAGTTATTAAACATTTGAGTAATTTGGTAGTGATGATGAGTAATCAATTTAAAACCCACAATAGTGTCAAGTGTTTCATAATGTAGAATTGCTATTTAAATCTAACTTGTGAAACAAGTTTTACAAAATCTGAAAGTCTGAGCTTTTCTAACAAATATATACTTACTTATTGTAGGATGGCAAAAATCATCACAGGAAGAGGAAGAAGGCTGATCGTGGTGATGGACCTTTATCATCAGAATCTTTATCAGAATCAGATCAAATAGAACAGGTCAGTGTGAAGCCTCAATTCCAAGATGTTACGATGCTTTTAGCTTCCTGATGCACCTAAGTGAACAAAACTAGCTTAGATCAGTACATTGCTGGACCTGACTTTTTTCTTAACCATTAACTTAGTGCTGCAAATTCAGAGATGTTCATATTTTTCTCTTTAAAAACGTGTAGTAACAATTGCTCAGTACAATTCTTAACACAGATTATTCTGAATTATATTTCTTGAAAATTTTCAAATATTTACAGGTATTTTAGAACTCAGTAACATGCCAGCTGCTTGATAAGGTGAAATCCTGTAAAGTAAACCCTAATGTTTGTGCATAAACAGGATTGTTAAACTTACTGGCCACCTTTTTTCATTGGGTTTAAAAATGGCCATATTAATCTTATTCTTACCCTTGTTTGGTTACTTAGAAGACTTTTATCCCTGTAGGATTACAAAATGTCAGACAATGCTAGGTTATTCTTGAGGAATTTTTAATTTGTGATGAGCATAACATTCACAAATTGCATGCTTATCGTCATGCTTGTTGTAGAAAATAACATAGATAATTTTATGCGTTATTTTGTTTCTTCATGCATTATTGTTCAGCATGTTTTACCTCTGTTGTGCCATCACTCATTTATACATAGCAAAAGCTTGAACCCTTAAAATAGCATTTTCAAACCTGTTACCCCATTAAATCTTATTTTTCTTAGGTACAAGCGAAAAAGAAGAAAAACAATGAGGAGAAAGATAAGGCAACAGCAAGTATCCTTCTTATTGTTACTGTAGTTTTAGGATATAAATATGGTATAGCTAGTTAATTTCTAATTCCAAGTTTTTCAGTTATACAAATGTCTTATGGCAAAAACCTACTCTAACATGAATTAATAATTTCTCCGCTTAATTCCTGAGCTTTGTTTTTAAATTGTGTAATTAGAAGAAGAATGTGTTCCTGTTTACCTAAATAGATATATATGAGATGGGATTTATATGTTTAACATTTATTGCCTGAAGTCAAGTATATTTTTATAATATGTGGAGGTCTGTGATTGTCCCAAAGACCGTAGTGCTGTTCTGTGTCCGAGTCCTGTGTATAATCCTCCCTTCTTAAGCCCCCTGCATGAGAGCTTGAAAAGAGCCTTAGGCCTCAATCTCTGCAGAGCCTGTCCTAGTGTAATAATAACAAAAAGCTTTTAGCAACCTCTTACTTGGACGTTGCTGATCTGCTGTCGATAAAAGTGAGATGGAGGTTCAGCAGTGATTTTTTCAGAGCCCCAGATTCATCACATTTACCTGAGGTTCTTTCAATGAGGAGTGGAGTCACTTTGAGATCTGAGTTGCCCGCTGGTGGAGATACCTGAATCCTTCCCTCCCTGCTGACTACCAGAGAGCCCACAGTGGCACTGCTCATAACTCGGACACCTCAGCTGTCCAGTTAAGTTAGTGCAAAGAGAAAGTTTACAAGTCACCCAACAAAAAGAAGCATAGTAATAACAGTGATATTCCATATACAATTTATTTGGAACTTGTTTTTTTTTTAATAATCACACAAGGTGTTTTCTGTAATTTCTAGTGACTGTCTAAAGAATTGCATGTTGGTAATGTATACAAAACTAATAGTTTTTATACCTAGGTTGTTTTGTTTGCATTACATCACACCTTTTCAAGAACTGAAATTGAAATTCCGCTTGCCAGAACACTGGATTGTATCTCTTGGCTTCTCTAGCACAGGGTTCAGAATGGTAACTTCAGGACTGAATCCAAACAGCCTTACTCGAGTGTATTTGTATATACAATCGAGATGATGTTGTTTCATTTTAAATAGGCCTCAGTGCTGGCAGTTCTAGCCAAGTGCACTTGAGCTGTTTAATTGCACTGTAAATACAAGCACCTGTTTTTTTTTTTRTCTGTAAACATTCCAGTCATTTCCCACATACATAAGATACCATTACTTATCAAAATGCTTTCTTAATACGGACTAGGAAGTATATAAAATACTGAAATCATGTAAAAGATTAAGAAAGAAAATAGTTAACAGTGATGAGAGGCATGAAATAGCCAGACCACAAGGGAGAAAAGTTGAAAGCTGTTTATGATACTACAAAGTACTGGATGAAATAAGGACTGTCTTTCTGGTRTTAGGATAACTCAATAGGCTTTTATAGAAGTGTCTTTTGAAATGTCATTATACAGAGATTCTTTCAGTGCTGTCATTTTTCATTAGATAACTGTAATAGGTGGCAGTTTTCTCATACAATAACCTCTGTTTTAACTTCTTTTTTTAGGACAAAACAAAAAAGAGAAAGAAGCATAAGAAACATGGTAAAAAGAAGAAAAAGAAGATGGCTGGTTCTAATTCAGACTCAGAATAATATTAAAAAAGCAAGACTATCCTTTCAACAAAAGTGCAATGACTAAAGGAAACTTAAACTGTGAAATGATGGCAAACTTTACCAAACTGCATGAGTTTTCCTGTGTTTTAGAAATATTCCTAATATTTCAGAAGCCAGCCAGGTGCAGCTGTGCTGGGAAAGATCATTGTTGTTGCCTGCTGCTTAATATATGGGGTACAACTTTTATAAAATTCCAAATAACAATGTTAGATGTTTGAAACAATATGAGATAGTAGTCCAACTAAGATGTAAAATATTGGAAAAATAAACGAGTCAACTTTTTAGATACTAAAAGTAGTGTTTTAAAAAGCATATTAGTGATAGTCTTAATTTGTAAATCAGGACAAGTAAAATCCCACATTCATCTTTCAGGTTAAGATAGTACGTAAACTTTTACAAGCTGATGCCTGTTTTTGGCATTTGCAAAATGAGAACTTAATAATGACATTTAAAATGCTATCTTYGTAGAAATGTTGAGCATCTGCCCCATTACCATCTTTATGCTTGTGGAAAAGGGAATGCTAACATTTGGCTAACTAGGGTGCCTTTGCCTTTGATCCTTGCAAATCTCTGCTGTTTTTAATCCATGCAGCATCTCTGATTCCAGGGAGGTCACAACTATTGCTAGCAGGCTTTTTCTGAATAAGCAGTTCCAGGCCTCTTAAGCATGTGCTTCTGCATTAAGCAAAAGCAATGACATTTTGCAGCATAACTGACGTTCAGAGACTAAAGACTTTACCTCTGCTTCTTTGAAATAGATCTCTGCTACTAAAGACACRTTTCATTTAATGTAATTTTGGTTTAATTGAACACTTCTGGCAAACACTGGTTGCTTTATTTCTTTGCTTTATCTTTAGAGTTGTTTTGCATGTTTTGTACCATTTTTAAATTAACAAAATACAGGTAATCATTTGTTGTAACCAGTTTTATGAATTATGTTCCACATGCAGACTTTCATGTATGTATTTAGTTATTYTTAAAGTTAAGTTCATTGCTGTGTTTAAATGCACACTTGCTGAAGATATTTAGCATGTAAAAAGCGGGATTTTGATATCTAACAGCTTCATATTGAAGCTGATTTTACTCTAAGCAAGTTCAGTGGCAGACCTGTTACGTGATGTGTCTCGTTATATAAAAATACTGCCAGAATCTCATTAAAGATACTGTTTAAACAGTTTGTATTTATATTTTTGTACTTGAGGGCTACAGAATCTTCACCTAAACCATRAAGGTGTTTTACTTTAAGCTCCTTCAGACATCAAAAAGGAAAAAAAGCTTTTAAATGAAAAGTGCACATACAGAAGGACCATAAACCATTGGATTTTACGTAAAATTCTCATTATGTCTCCCACTTGCAGTACTGACTGCTAGGCCTGCTGTGTTAGCCATTAATCACTGCTCAGCTAGAYGGTGGGTTGCACTAACAATCCACTTCTGTTTCATTGCACAGGTGCTAACTTCTAACTCGTGTCTGTTGTGTACAGATGTTTCAAATACATTGTTCAAGACCTCAATTAACTGTCTGTTAGTCTGCAAACCATAGCTAAAAACTGGGTGGAAAAATCAGTATTGCAATTCTACAGTGAAACTGAATTTTCAAGTAAGTTCTTAGAAAAATATTAACACTTGACTTGCAGCAATGACTTCGTCCCTCTATTTTAATCAAATATTTCATACAGTTGGCTTGATGTTACTGATTTTGGAGACTGTTGCATCATTGAGGTTAAAATAAAGGCAMAATGCAGCAAACAGAAGGGGTTTGATTTGGCAGGTTGCTTTTTCCTAAATTGTAGTGTTTTGGTAAAGGCAACTAGCAAAGAACCGTGTGATCAGTGTTCTACTGTGTGTGATACCTCCTTTCACTTCTGCACCGCTGCTGGCGCTAGAAGGAAACACGAATGGACTTGAGTGCCCCAGGCTTCCATGTGCACCATGAGGTATGTATTTTTAACTGTAAATACAGCTCTTTGTGCCCATCTGTTGGTGTCATTTCTTTAGTCAAATCCTGTTACAGCACTTCTGAAGTGGTGTATGTGCTTAAGGGATGTCCAGGCTCTCTCAGGTGACAGCAAAAATCTTTTAATATCGCCACGGAAATATTTCGGCTTGCAGTAYGTTGACAAAGGCAGGGCGAGCCCTTCTGCGCCATTCTCTTTACTTGAAGGGTAAAGCCTGATGAAGGCAGTTCAGGGTTTGCTGTTGGTGTACACTCAGGGTAGGAGAGGGTAGCACGGGACAGCTTGTTTTTCCATGTGATTTATGGAAAAAATGAACAAAAAAAAAAAAAAAAAAAAAAAAAAAGGTAAAACGGCCGTTCCTCAGCGCCTGGTGCGCGCCAAGGCGAGGCGGGCGGCGCCGCCGTCGCCCATTGGCCCGCGCCGCCCCGCGTGACCGGTCGCCATGGCAGCGGCGGGCGGCGGCGCCATGAGCCGCAAGCGGCTGCAGCAGCTGACGGAGTCGCTGCTCCGCTCGGCGCGGCACTGTGAGCGCGCGCGCCCGCCTCGCGCGGCGGGGACGTCACCCAGCACCGCGGGAGCTGCCGGCGGGAGGGCGGCTGGGGAGGGGGGTCGGTCCCGAGCGGCCTCGGGAGCCCCGAACGTCCGCCGCGGGCGGGCTCTGGCGCGGGAATTTGCTGAGCCCAGATGCGACCCCCTGTCTGTGTTTTGGCCGCGCAGTTAACAGGAAGGAGGTGGAGCGCCTCATCAAGCTCTTCAACACGCTCGCGGCCGAGTCCAGGGAGCGATTTGCTGCTGCTGCTGGCTTGGATCGCAACATGTTCCGAAACATCCTGCATTGCACCTTTGGAATGATGGATGACATGATTATGGACAGAGGTGAGGGCCGCAGGTTCAAAGGTTTGTCAGGCACAAGAGCTTTCCAACGGTGATCTTTAAACACTCCCTTACTGAGGCTTGCCAGATCATCGGATGCTGACTCCTTTGTTTTTGATCTTTTTGTTGGATCTTCATTTTTCTTCTGCAAAAATACTGCATCCTTACCGATGACAGGGTAACTTGGGAGAACAGGACAGAAGTCGCACGCGGGCAGTCGCTCCGTTAGCTCTAAGTGATTGCCCAGTTTCAAGGGTGAGATTAGTTGGTGAGGGGATGGAGTGCACAGTTTGCAGACAGTATCCAGATGCCCCACAGAGGGGTGAAGATTGGCACGTTGTTGACCAGAGGGAAAATGGGAAGCTTTGGGAGTGAGCAGAGCTCACTCTTCTCTGTCGCAGAAGCTTTGGGACAAGCTGAGGTGCAGCAGTGTCCTCTCATCCACGTCACTTCAGCAAAGGAGGCGTCAGGTGTGGGTTCTGCTCCCTGAAAGGGGTCTKTATTTATAGGTAGCATCCCATCCTGCGTGTGGGGCAGCTCACGCTCTGGCAGGAGGGGSAAGTGCAGGTCAGGTGGCTGTGGTGCCAGTGCAGCTGCCTTCACCACAGCCATCCTCCRTGGGTGGCAGGAGGGCAGCAGGGTGTCACTTTCCTTCTCCCCTGATGATTACACAGGGAGGTCTGGGCCTTGCTGCCAGTCCAGAGCTGCATCCCACACATGCAGGTCCCAGAAAGCTGGGCTGTTAGGAGCTCTGGAGCAGCCCTGCAGGTTCTGCTCAGGCCTTTGAGCTAGGTGAGAAGAGCAGCCACCATTAGCATTTTGAAATATGTATATTGTCTTCCAAGCTGCATAGAACACGTTAGCAAGGGCCCTGGCAGAATCACAAACCATCTGATAGAAAGGTGAAGCTTCTCCTGGTGAAGCTGTGGAGGGGAATGAATCTTCCACCGCTTTCAGTCTCCTGYCAGGAAGCGCTGCCACCTGGCCCAGCTCTCTCCTTTCTTCTAGCAGGGGATGTATTTAAACAAGAATGTCATTTCGTGCAGCAAGGCAAGTATCCCCTGGAAAACATGTTACGAGGAGCCAGCCCTGCAGATCACTGTGACACTCACATACAAAGGGGGCTGATKTATGAATGCAAAGGGGCAAAGCTGCTATTTTCACTTCTGAGATGTCTGGCTCCTGTATTTCAGCTTTCTGTACAGGTGTTCCTGCAGCCAGCTTACCAATTAACATTTAATAATTGATGTTACCTGATGTTTTCATGCATTATACCTTGGATTTGAATTACTGTGTTACAGGCTGTGCTGATAATGAATTTGCAGTTATATTTGTTATTACAGGAAAGAGGGAGAAAAAAAAGAGATTTGGGTATGAACAAGACAGAAGGGTGTTTATCTTGGTATATTTGAAATAAACTTTCTGTGTTACTTGTAGGATTAGTTTTCTCCAAGATTTTCTGAGATGAAGTGTAGTAATTAAAATCTTCTATTATATGCAAATATTCCATAATGTAGGCTATTTGGTTTATGCTAGTGTGAAGGTATATGTACTGTAGTTGTGTGCGTCAGGAAAGTGGGAGATCCAGGGCCTTATCCTAGCAGGACTATGGAATGCCAGAGAGGAAGATCAACAGACGGAGGAGTGGCTTTCCCTTCTTTGTTAAGGCTTAATCATACTTTGAAGCAAAGAGCTTTAGGCAAAGAATCCTATTTTTGCTGATTTCAAGAAAAGACTGCTTTGTGTTCCTTATTGCCTCAACGAAATCCTTCCGTGCTCCATTCCTCAGTATTCCGTGCCTTTGATAAAGACAACGATAGCTGCATCAGCGTGGTGGAGTGGGTGGAAGGCTTGTCAGTATTTCTCCGAGGGACCTTGGAAGAAAAGATTAAATGTAAGGCTCGTCTGCACGCCAGTATTTAGAAGTAGATCATTGCATCTATTGCAGTTATAGTGCTCATCACTTTAATAATTATTTATTCTTCACTTATAAGGTATTTGGTAATTCCTGAGTTTTCCTCTGCAGGTTGTAGTGTCACAGAGCTGAGTTCTGAAATGGTTTCTCTAAGATAAATGTGTGCAAATTGCTGTTGTCATAGCTGCCACCTTAATTATCACTAACAAAACAAATCTGTCTTTTGCACAAGTTTCTTCTACAGTATATAGTTTTGACAAAATGTTTCTGTCCATGTTCATGCACAAGTTAGAAATAAGTGGATGTAACTCAAAGCTGGTGTTGGGTTAATAATCCAGTCTCCTCAAGCCAAGCGAGGCCCACGTCAACAGTCACTGGCAAGATGAGGACACCGCAGCAGCTGCAGCTCGGAAACTCAGTGAAACTTGTGAATCTGTTAGCAAGGTGGTGATGAGAACACCCAGAGTAAAAGAAAGATGGAAAAGAAAGATGGCAAGAAGTGCAGAATTTAAAAAAAAAAAAAAAAAAAAAGATGGAAAAAAAGGGAATCAGAGCATTGCTTCCTGTCTCCCTCACGCACTATGTGAATGCATCATAAAGCAGTGCACAGGAAGGTAGCTTGGGATATCACAGCACTAGGAGGTTTGCCTGGATGTAACTCAGTACATCAGCATAACCACAAGCAATAAAATATGAAGTGTGGGTGTTACACAGGATGTACATCTGCAGAAACGAGCAGAGGTAAGGGCTCAGGAATACTGGTGTGCAATGCAACAGAAACGCTGCCTGGGGTAAATGGCTAAAAATGTATGCAGGGACAGATTGTTTCAGTGTGGTCTTTGGYAGGAGAGTTCCAAAAAACTAAGATTAAATTAAAAAAAAAAAAAATGTAGTCCTCAGTTTGTTTTTCCAGAAAGGAAGAAACAAATAGGAAGAAGAGAAATTACCAAGATGTTTAAGCGTTGTTACAGATATYTTCCATTGGCATTAAAGGATACTTCACTTGTCCTTTCTGTGCCAGGACAACTCGCTCTGCTTTTTCCCTCTCCTTTGCTAATGCAGCTTCTGAACTGCCTGGCCACGTTTTGTAGGTTCAGAGCCCTTCCACCGAGRACACTTCATGCCACCTTTATGAAGTCAGGCTTCTAAAGTAGAACCTCTGCTTATAATCTAAATAATTACCCCTGAAGAAGTTAAGATCAATAAGTCACTGTATTTTGTGTAATCTGAAGATTGTAGAGTATATTACATATCCAAACAGAAATAGATTTTAACTCTGAAGGATAAGTAGGAGATAATTGACTCCTTTTGTATCAAAATATGTATCAAATTGTATCAAAATATGATAGATATTTTAAATATAAATATTACATGGTAATAAAGCACAATTTATATTTTCTAATCACTTTAATGGTGAATGATACAGTTTGCATGAAATTTTAATTGAGTTATCTTTTGAAAAGACTGCTTTGAAGTTTATGATCTGAACGGTGATGGATACATTTCACGAGACGAAATGTTTCATATGCTGAAAAATAGTCTGCTCAAACAGCCTTCAGAAGAAGATCCTGATGAGGGAATTAAGGACTTAGTGGAAATAACACTGAAGAAAATGGTAAGTAACTTCCCATTCTGATACTTGAGTGTCTTTCCAATATCTGCTTACTGAACCTTAGAGCAATAAATAAATCCATCAGTTAACTGCTTTACTGCAGGATTCTGAGGCACAGAGCTGGGTAAGTACAACACAAGCTACACAAGCTTTCTAAGGAAACCCAGAGATGTAATCCACATCTAATGAGTCCCAGACCTGTATCCTGACACAAAATTCTACTCCATTATATCCATGTATTATAAACTTTAGGTATACATTAAGGCACATACATACATGCATGTGTACACACACATGCACCCCATCAAAGCAAAAGCAGACAATTCTAATCTGTATTCCTTCCAGTGTTACGGGGCATCTCCAGTAACTTTATTACCAAGCGAACTTTTTAAGTATTTCACAATTAAAAGTACTTACGCAGTTTACATAATCCTCAAGTTTTATTCTATATGTCTATATGTTTTATTCTTTATGTCTATATGTCAAGTTTTATTCTATATGTTCTATATGTCTCAACACTCATATTAGCTAGGGGCTGTTTCACCATGCATCAAGAAATATCCCCTCTCCTCCTACTACATTGCTCAAAAATCTCTATTCAAATCAGCTCTCCACTTCCCGATCTTTTTATTTAACCCCCTCTTCCTCATTTCCCAAGCCCATCCGAGCTGACCGGCAGCTCTTAACCCTTCGTTCTTCACAGGGCTGAGTCTGCTGTCTCACACAGCCAGCAAGTTACCACTTAGCAATTTGCTACTCTTTGCTAACCAAGAATTGAATCCATGTGATTTTGTTGTTTGTTTAGTAAATCCAGYTACTCCAAGTAACCATCCTTTGCAAAAACGTCTTCCTCCTCTTGCAGGACTATGATCATGACGGCAAGCTTTCTTTTCTGGACTTYGAAAAAGCTGTAAGAGAGGAAAATCTTCTCTTAGAAGCCTTTGGACCCTGTTTGCCAGACATAAAGGTAGATAAGCTCTGAGTTAAAAAGAATGTGCAAATACCTCCTCTGGCACCGTTAAGGGGACGCAGCTATTTTGGTAGTATGTGTCATTATGTGGGGCCTCCTGACTGCAACTGATAAATTGCTCCACCTCCGAGATGTGCATGTGYTGAGTTCCTATCTACCTTCCACAGGCACAAACACTTCCTTAAACAGCCAGAAACTGATACCACCGGATATAAAACAACCTTCTGATATGCAGARCTTCTCTCTATGAAACATGTTAGCTTTGGGCATGCTCATTTCTTCTGTATTAAGMCAAACTGGTTAAAAATGAGTTTTTCTTGTGTAACTTTTTATTAATCCACTGTGATTCTATTTGAACTGCGTTACAGTTTTAAGGCACAATTTAACAGTGCTTAAAAGAGATGCAAAAAATATATTTTGAAACATCTGCAGTGGTTCTTAGGTACATCCTGAGAGACTGTTGAAAACCAGGCAAGTTTTCATTTGCTCTAACCCTCTATGTGCTGCTAGCTCCCCTGCCTGGCAGACTCCAGGAGAGCAGGAAAGTCTCAGAGCCTGGACTTGCAGCCTCTATCAGCTCCGGTCACCTGCAGAGCAGACACTGCCAAAATGTGAGACTTGTCTGGGCAGACTGGCAAGACTCTGGGCCACTTGGGAAATGCCAAGTTAAATACTTTTTTGATGTTGTTTCCCTTCCTGTCTAATCAAAAATCCCTTATGTTTTCCTGTCAAAATTAATATTCTGTAATAGACATAGAGAAAAGACTTACCTTGGTACTAAGGCTGGTCAATTGTAGCAATCATTCGGCTCGTTTCCTTCTTCTACACTCTGTTGCAACAGTCTGCATGACTGTTGGGTATTTTCTGGGTCTCTAATTTTGTTGTTAAGAGAAATCTGTTCACATATCCTTCCAACCCAAAAGTAACAAACAGATTTCCTTTCTGAGCTTTTTTACAAACAAAACCCAGCCATGCYTACAACTGAACAGCAAGAATGCTTCCACTCTTGACTTGTAACTTAAAGCACACATTTTCATAAACCTGTGCTCCAAATCTTAGTAATTTGCTAGTTTTCTTACCAGAAAGTAATGTCCTTGGATGTTTTGACTGATCTTTCAGTGGTGACATCATTAATTTAATAATACTGGAACTGAGATATCCCTCGTGTTTAAGGACTCTGTTTGCTTATGAGTTTCAGTTTAGCACCATTTTCTGACTAACTTCAACTCTCTAGTTACTGCGTTTTGTTTTTTTTGTTTTGTTAACAGAGCAGTATGGCATTCGAAAAGAAAACTTTTCAGGATACTCCTGACCTGTAGCTCCAACTGCTGGAATACTCTTGTAAGAATTCTTTTTCTTCAYGATTCTTCCTGATGCAACAAAAGCAGGAATAACTCCAAACTTTCTGAACTTTAATATTCATTTACTGTAAAAGCTTCTGAATAAATAGAGATTGCTTGCACTATATACAGTTCTTTTGTGATAAGCACATAGGACAAGCTTGCTTCAGCTATGTATGTACCATTTCTATAGCTGTTCACTACAGCTTTTGTTCCAGGAAAAAAAAAAAAAAAAAAAAACCAATTTTAACGGGGACTTATTGTGAAATGCAATATAAAATCTTATTTTTGATATTCCCAAATATATGTATCTATTTAAATTATTATTTAAAGAAGACTGTAGGAAGATGCTGCCAGCAGTATCTATATTCTTCTTCTTTGCTTTACAAGTGGCTTGGCTGTGCTATCCTGAGGGTCTTCCACAGATGTCCTTGAAACAGAATCAGCCACCTAGATCACAGGGAGAAAAAAAATCTCCATTTAGTAAACTGCACTGATCCCTTCTGGATGCTAAGTTTAGGTCAGCGATCCAGCATTTTGGTTGGTGGTGGGAGGATGAATCATTGCTGCTACACTCATATTGAGATTGTCTGTAAACAAGGGGGAGAGGTGTAAAAAAAACAAACAAAACTAAACAAATCCACGCTGCAAAYAGCATGAAACACAACGCAAAGGAGGTAAAACCCTCCAAAGACATAAGTCTGTTAGCAATACCCTTTTCTATTTTAGCCCCACAAACTGAATTCAGAGACTCAGTGATGGACTATTATTAATCTGATGGACAGATGGTGATGGATGGTTTGTTTCCAAAGTAAAGTTTAGCATACTTGAAGTCAATTTGACCAAAGGTTTTCAAACTCACATCAGTCTAGTTCTACTCAAGAAGGCTCTTACTGTCTTATTACGAACACAAGTTATAGAGGGAGTGTTTGACCTGTAAACTAGTTTGTTAATATCCTCCGTAAAAGGCTTTATACCATGAAATTTGTCAGCACAGTAACTGTACTTCTGTATTCCACTGATGTTGTAACTCATATCTTGGATTTGATTGAAAAACAAGTCAAAAGACCATGCTAGAGTCAGTAGGGCTACCTGCAGGCTTAGCATGCTTCCCCCTGTGAAAAAGGTGTTAGTTACTAAGGAACATTTAGGACCATACTCTGATACTTTTAAAGCTGAAAACAGTTTATAATAGCACTAACATTTATAATTTTGGAAATTGGGAATGATGTTAAAGGTACGGAGCAGAATGGCCAGATAACATTTAGCATGACAAAAGAGCTGGTAATACTGGATAAAGATATCTTAGGGTGTTTACTTTTACAGAGAATAAGCACAGAATGCTTTTTGAGCAAGTGAAAAATACCCCAGTTTCAGAATCCATACCTGCTTCAGCTTATTTCGAATTAAGGCAGCTGAAGTGTTCAAAGAATCATCATCCATATCCACCTTCGGCACTGCCGGGAGCTGCGGCCCRATAGTGACTTCCGTGCTGTCCGTGTACGTTCCCAGGAGGGCAGACCTGCTACCTTCCTCTCTCCTCCTCTTACGCTCCTGCAGGTGAGTTGTCCGAGGCAGAAACCTGTCAATGCCATTGTCCACAGGAGCTGCTCGGCGCTGCGCCGAGGGAAGGGGTGGGAAACGTCCCGCTTGTGCATCCGGAGTTAAGGGTGTGCTTGCACCAGAGCAGCACAAAGTTTCAGCACAGGTACTGTCATTCTGGGGCAGCATAAACTGGCTCTGATTATGATTCCTAGAAGGATATCCGCTGCTTTGTGGGACCAAGTGAGAATCTGGAAAGCAAGGASCTGGATCCCAGTTACCAGCTCCTGGGAATTCCGATGGAATCTGCYGGCCGTCGTACCCAGAGTTCTCCCGGATGATCCTCTTAGGTCCCTCGGCTCTTTTTGCAAGAAAGTGATCTTAAAAAAAGAAGAAAATGCAGCTTGTCTATTTTTGTCATTACTAGTTTTACCACATAAGAAAAACAGCTTAATACACAGCAATTACAGAAGCAGTTCCAATGATTCCCAGGCACCCTTCAGTGATTCTTTTCTTCCTACATTTCAAACTGAAGGTTTCCAGCCTAGASACTCTACTTGTTTGTAAGGAAAGCCTGAGCAGCAATGTTTCAGCAGTTTTGAAAATAAGCTGGAAATAGTTCTAACGTTAAAATGATTTTTACCTGCAGTTGTGATTCCAAGAGACACAGCTCGTATTTTGAAACATCAGAAAGCCAATATTCTGATATTAAAAATCAGTGATTTTAGCACCCTTTCACTATGGTCATCTAAAGCTAGGTCAAAGTTTAAAAGCACCAGAAGACTCTTCTCTGCAGTTTGCATCTACCATAACTTGCCCTTGCTTAAGAGCCGGCAAACCCAGCCCGTTTTCAGCTTCCCTCAGTGCCAATGCAGAGACTGGAGAAGGTTTTTTGTTAAAAGTTCAGGGTGTGGTCACCTTAAAATACTTTTTCCTCTTTGRTCTCCTTGAGAAAGCTGGAACAAGGATGAAAACACGGCCTCAAATTTTCGTGACCAATGTTGGGAATTTCAGATAACACCCGGARAAGGGAACGGAGAGGGAATGAAACAACGCGCTACGCGTTGCTTGTTGCACACATTTGTTTTTGTATCAACCAAAGACCAAAAAATGCATCAGAAACTTTGAAAGTCTGGAAGAAAACTGTTTCTGTTTTTTTCTGTTTTTTTTTTTTTTTTGCCTTTTTTTTCCATGGATACCTGTAAAAGGTATACCAGGGATATCAGATGATGAAAACGAGTAAGGAGCAGAAGGCTGTGCATATATACCTTATGCCTGCACATTACATTTACTTCTAAATATAGAAAATACTTCCATGAATATTCCAGAATATATCCACAAAATGTGTCCTCTGGCTGATCTAGAGTCCTGTTACTGAGTCAAAGACATCAATTCAGCCCAAAAGAGAGTCCTTTCTAGTCCTTTCCTGCACTCTCAAATAAAAAGCCCTTTAAATACTAAAAGATATCTGTGTCCTGCTGCTGTGGCATTTAAAATGTGCTTTTGGAGCAGCTGAACAAAGTATTTTCTTTTACTGTTGGCCCTTGGAGTCCACCCACCACAGACCCATGGGGAATTGCTCACAAACCTCTCTGGTTTGTTGCTCTCGCTATATACTTTCTTCTATCCTGCAGCTTCTCCCGAGTTTCTTGGACCGTTTCAAACTCTGGGGCGTAGCACACGTGGAGCAAACTACCAAAGAAGCTCCGTTCATCCATCTTCTTCTTGGCCACCCTGAGGGAAATTAAACTGCGTCAGCGAGCGCGAGGCACCTCAAACCCGCAGGATCGTAACAGGCAACAAGTAACTACGGTGCAAAGGGTAAGGAGAGGCAGGCGTTGCCCTGCACGGCACCTGGCGCACTGCAGCTTCTGGAATTTTACCAGGTAGACCTCCGTGAAGGGCTCCGCCGGGTATTCGTCCAGAGCRTGATACTCCTCGACGGCGCCGTAGAGCGCGAACTGCTCCACGAGCTCCCTCATGACGCCGAGCGCGGGCACGCCCTGCACGAGCAGGTACCGCGACTCCAGGTTGATGGTGTAGACCTGCAGGGGAGGCAAAC